GCAGCACGGGCGGGAGGGTTGGGGAGCGCGAGAGGCCAGATCTGGCCCGTCGCCACCTTCCTGAGGCCCGGCGCCTCCATCATGGGGGGATGGAGAATGAAGAATTGCCAAAACATAAATTAAATGATTATCCATGCCACTTAATCATTTAATTTGTTCATTTATAAGTATTGTCACTCGTGGCAACGCATGTGCATTTAACTAGTTACATTTGAAATAGAAATTTTGTTAAAAAATAGGGACAATTCCATTTCTCCCCCTAACTTAAACCGACACCTGGCATTTACCCCTAAATTTCGACTGTGCTCAAAAATACCCCTCTTCCGTCAAAGCTTCATATAGAAATACCCTTCCGTACCATTTCTGTGTGGTCAAAGGCGTTTAACCGGCTGTGGGACATTTTCTGGCTAGTTTTGCCCCTCTACGCATATGACACTTACAAGTGGGGCCTACCCTAGGAAAAACAAAAGGAAAAAACTCTCTCTCTCTCACCCCCTCTCTCACTTACAGGTGAACCCACCAAAAAAAGAAAAGAAAAAAGAAAAAGTTTATTCTCTCTTACCTCTATCTCTCTCTCTCTCTCTCTCTCTCACACACACACACACACCTCCCGCGACGACCAATAGCAGACGACGGTGGCCATCATTAGGCTCGCCGGCGTGGTCCCGCTGCGCTCAACACCGTGTAATCATCCGGTGTGGTCCCGATTTGTTTTCCAGCAGGACGAATCAGACCGAGGCATCGGAAATCAATGGCTCACTCGTCGTCTTCCCCAACTCCGGTGGAGTGCGGCCGCTGCCCGATCTCCTCTACCCATGAATCTAGGAGGATTCCCCCAAGTTACTTAGCTCAAAGACAACCTCCGGAATGTCCTGGTGTGCCCTCGAGCTTCCTTGCATCCCCGAGAACCTCCCCCCATGAGCGCCGCCCCGTCGCCGCCGCTCGAGCTCACTATTGCCCATCCCCCGGCCACCCCACAGTCTCCGGCCACCTTAGTCCAGTTCGTCTTCACGCCCGCAGCCTCCTAGGACCGCTCTGAAGCCCATAGACCTCTCTAGCATCCTCCTATACCGCCGTACCTCGCTGTTGTATGTTCGCGCATGCGCCAGCATTTAGCCACTGCTGTTAAAAAGGTATTTAGGCTAACCCTCCAGGTAAGTGTTCCATTGACCCGTGGGCCCTTTACTAACTACTCCCTCCATTCCTTGATATAAGGTGTATAGATTTTTGAGAAAAAGTCCGAAATATAAGGTGTATTGCATTGCACCACTCGTTTGGATAATTTTTTTAGGGATTTGATTACATTTCCTTATATCGGGAAAGCTCCTCTATTTCCTCATGTCAATTAGTCAGGTGTAATCTCGCCCAAAACTTGTGAAATTTTTCCTCCACGTGTGTTCTTTAATTTCCGTGCCAAAAACTATACACCCTATATCTAGGAACGGAGGGAGTATAAAACAGTTATAAAGAATGGCATGTGGGCCTCCAAAATCTAATTTGACCAGTCCCTGTTGATTGGTCTAACTTTGACTTAGTTTTTTTCCTTTACCTAAATGTGAACTAGTACCACCCAGAGGCATTTTGGACAAAGCACATGGTCAAACCCCTTTGACCTAACAGAAACAATGTTGAGGGGCATTTCTATAACACCACCTAACAGAAGAGGGGTATTTCTGAGCATACTTGAAATTTAGGGGTAAATGCCAGGTATGGGTTCAAGTTAGGGGGAGAAGTGAAATTGTCCCTAAAAATATATAGTATAGTCAAATTGTACCCTTCAAAATGAATTCAAAACGTTTCTCGCCCCAATCTACGAATACCTTTAAAAAAACTGCATTGTCGAGGCACCATAAGTTGGTCCCCTAATTCCAAGTCAAAATTAACACCTGCACAGAAAATCGGACGTGGCATTTAGGAAGAAAATAAAGCTAAAATTAGCAAGGTGTCTGAACATTTTATTTAGGGGTATCTGAATAGTGATAGCTAAAATTACAAAAAAACAATGATACCTAACAACGCGGTTTTATCACCTTGGACTTAAAATGCACTCCGGCCCACAACTATCAACCTTGTAGGCCTTGTACAATGCAAGGTGCTTAGGGAGGTGATTTTCACCTTCCTAAGCACCTTGCATTGTAAGGCTATACAATGCAAGGTACTTAGGAAGGTGCTTAGAAAAATAAACCGGCTACTTCTGAAGCACCGATGTCTATTTTTATAAAATAGACGTGGCAAGGGCCGGCGGGAGGGCTCCGTTGTTAGTCGTTCCTTTAAAATTTGTTAGGGTTTGTGTCCTACTCAGGAAGACGAGACGGTGGCGGCTCCCTGAAGATGGAATAAAGGTCTCCCCGCCTAGTCCCCGTTCCGATGGTGCGTCTAGCATCGTTGGTGGGCGTGTGGAGGTGTGTCTCCGGCGGATCTATCCTCGGTGGATTTGCTCGGATCTGGTTGTGGTTCGTCTATGTTCGTGTGTCTTCAGGTTGGATCCTTTCGATCTACGTTATTCTTCATCAGCGGCGGTTGCTGTTCTGGTGCGCTGGTCCTACGGGGCCTTAGCACGACGACTTCCCGACTGTCTACTACAACAAGTTGTGCCCGATCCGGCAAGGGAGGGGTGATGACGGCGGCGCGCCTTCGGCTCGTTTCAGTGATAGTAGTCGTCGCTAGGTGGTCTATGAATCTGGATGTAATTTTTATTATTTCTAGTGTTCGTTGTACTGCCGTGATGGAAGATGAATAGATTGAAAGTCTACTACAAAGCGTCTGTCCTGTACAAATAAACATCAATGCTTAAAAAAATTCTAATTTATTTTTTCATACACCTTGCATCGTACAAGGCGCGCGGTGCGCGTCGTCGTCCGCAATGAATAACGGGTGATGCAAGGTCGGATCATCTGCAACCGCGAGCGGCCGCGTGCTCCGTGGAGGATCGAAATTTCCACGTCCAGTCGACGCACCTGTCGCCCCCAGCCTAACACCTCACTTGACTCACGCGCTACGGTCGCGCCAGCTTAGTCGGCGCTCCTCCCCCCAGCCCCCACCTCCCCCTTCTTGCTCATCCGCACCGCCGCGATGCCTCCCCTGCTCCTCCTCCTCGTCGTCCTGCTCCTCTTCGCCGCGGCCAACGGCTACCCATCCACCTGCGGCAACGCCACCTGCGGCGGCCTGATCATCGCCTACCCGTTCTGGCTCGACTCGTCCTCGGCCTCCAGCTGCGGCTACCGCGGCCTCGGCCTTGCCTGCGAGGGCAACACCACCCTGATCCTCCCCGCCCAGTCCCACCACCGGTACAGAGTCTCGGGCATCGACTACGACACGCACTCGGTCTTCCTCGTCGACGACATCGAGGCCGAAGCCTTCAACGCGGCCAGCTGCCCGCGCCTCCGCTTCAACTTCACCATCGACGCCGGCTCCGCGCTGCAGCTCACGCCCTCGGACTCAACCATCACCTTCTTCTACAACTGCAAGAAGAACGCCTCGTGGCCCTCTGCCGTCGAACTGACTGGATGTCCAGATTACAACGAGAGCTCATACGCGATCGCGGGCGATGGCTACACGGGCGAGGCCTACGAGTACGGGTGCGAGGCGGCGGTGGTGGCGCCGGTGCTGGACTCTCATAAGAAGGGCATGATGGATGTGCCTCAGGAGAGAAGATACGTTGAGGTGCTCAAGGGCGGATTCGAGCTGAACTACAGCCCGCACTCGGAGCAGTGCGGCGCATGCGAGCGCTCCGGCGGGTGGTGCGGCTACCGGCACAACCTGACGCACGGCGGGGTGGGGTTCGTCTGCTACTGCGATGGCGGGCCCACGGCGGATCAGTGCGGTAGCGGTACGTATGACTTTTCTATCGCTCACTTGTCATTACTTTTGTTTGAACGAGTCCCTGTTGTGGACTTGCGGCACTTATTACGGAGACGTACCAGTCTTCCTGCTGATTGATGCACTTATGGAGGGTACACGGCCACATTCGCCAGAACCAAACGCCTGCATGATCTCAGAGCTAAAACAGTCAGGTTTGTGTACGTGTAGCTTTGTTCAGCGCCCTTTCTGTGCAGCTCCTTGCCTTTTACGTACTACTGTACTTGCAACTGATCCCCGGAGGTTTTGATGGCCAACCCCTCACCCGAACCCCACGAAGTTATGCTCAACGCACCAACCACACCAGTCGCGCAGAACCCGGCCTCGAGCCAAGCAGAGAAGAAACTGGCCATGTCTCTCCTCTACCGCCGCATCATCGTCCTGCTCGTCGTCCTCTTCGCTGCAGCTTCCCGTGGCGATCCAGCCGGTGGCGCATACGACCGCACGACGTGCCAGCTCGAGCCTTCCACCTGCGGCGATCTCACTGTCCGGTACCCGTTCCATCTTTACAGCGGAACAGATGAGGCAGTGCCGGAGCACGCGTCGCACTGCGGCTACCCCGGCCTGGCCATCATCTGCGACGACGACAGGCCCATCCTCCGCCTCGGCAGGGACGACTACATGGTCTCGAATATCAACTACACCAGCCTCACCGTCTCCCTCGCCGACGCCGACGCCCTCGGCGACGACACCTGCCCCATGGTCGATCACAACGTCACGGTCCCGAAGCAGTTCCATCTGCCCACCTCCACCATCGCTTACCTCTTCTTCTTCGTCAACTGCACCTTCCTGCCGGAAGCCGATTTCGCTACATCACGCAAGCCGCCGAGCATCAAGCCAGTCACCTGCGGGAGCTCTGGACAAGAGCCTGCCATGTCCTTCGTGCTGCCGGAACGCGAGATCCCTCCCAAGGACTGGTGGCAGGCATGCCGGTCAGTCTACGCAGCCCCCGTGCTCAAGGACGCCCTCCCCGCCGACGCAAAGGACCCTGGATGGAGAGAGGGCGGGTACGCGAAGGCTCTCCGCGGCGGGTTCCAGGTGGGCTCCGGCCCGTGCGGCCAGTGCGAGCAGTCCCGCGGCAAGTGCGGCTACAACCGCACCGGCGGGCTCCTGGGCTGCTTCTGCGCCGATGGCGCCCTGGTGGTGGGCAACGCCGCCGGCTGCAGCAAGATATCTGACACCACCGCGCCGCTGCCCGGTAAGCCCACCATTCCGATCAAACTGCTGCAGCACTTCTGTGAGTACCCTGCAAATCTTACCATGGAATCCTCATTTGCCTTGCCCGACCGTCACCGGCAACTAAAAATCCGTACACTCTGGCTAACTTCGCTTGGTAATTTTGAACTAAAACAACGTCACCGAGTAGTACTTTGCATGTCATAACTGAATCCATAGGCTCAAAGCTGGCTTTTTTTATCGAATCATGCAAAGAGCTGCATGCAATAATAATTACAGTAGATAGAAAGGAAAGTCCGTGTGGTGGGCGTGTGGACCTGAATATGTGATGACTGATGATTGAGGTCTTTGCACTTTGTATTGACCAGCATTTGCCGACATGCAATGCACCAGTCTTTCTTTGTGCTGATTCATCGCCTCCTGTCATCATCACATAATGTAGCGTGAGCCCCACATCGGCCAAGTGCAACTCCACGCCAGGTCTATATACGGCCAGATTCCTCCAAATCAAACGCGTGCATAATCAGAGTTGAAACAGCCAGATTAGTCTGTCTCCTGACTCGTCTCACCAATGGCTCACCTAACACACCAGCTCCTCCTCCTCTTCCTCTCGGTTCATGTCTTCGTCGCCTCCCATGGCTCCCCTAATCCGCTATCTAGCACCTACAATGATTCCATGTGCTTGGAGTCGTTCAAGTGTGGTGGCGTTGACATCAAATATCCATTCTATCTGTCAAACACAACCCAAGCAAACCCCGATTACACATCCTACTTCTCGTGCGGCTACACCGATTTGAAGATCTTCTGCCAAGGCAAGGGGCAAACCGCGATCGCAGTCCTTCCACTCGATCAATACAACTACACCGTCCGGAACATCCTCTACGACAATTCCACCATCATTCTCGGGGACACTGAAGCCCTTAACGGCGTCAAGTGCCCCACAGTCAGCCACAACGTGTCATTCGGCGACGAGTGGCTGGAATACACCGACTCCTTGCACGAGTTCACCTTCTTCTTCGACTGCTGCTCCACGGCAAGTGATCACCCGCCTCCTGATTCTCTGCTAGAAAAGTTCCAGATCGACTGCAAAGGGTTCGATCCACCTGCAGGCAGTGGAAATGGTGTTTCCTTCTTGTTTACCTCTGAGGATGACAACGTTTCTCGAGAGTACGAATTGGCCGAGCACTGCATTCGGATGGTCATCGTGCCGGTAAATAAAGATGTCCTGATGAGCAGTGGTCAGCTCATGTTGCCTAGTGATTACGGTGCCGTGGTCAAGCAAGGATTCGAGTTGAAATGGCATATGAGCATACCGCAGCCATGCGACCTGTGCGAGCTATCTGGTGGACGGTGCTCCTACAGTGAGGAGAAGAAATTTCTTGGTTGCTTGTGCTCCGGCGGGAGGGTTGGCGTTCAGGGCTGCCACGCCAGCGGCAACACCATTGCGTATTCAAACTCTCCATCGAGTAAGTTATTCAGAACTGATCCTTATATTTTATTCGCATCCGAAAACAAACGGCCGATAGTATATCTCGCTTGCCAATTCCTTCCCATTTCGCCAGAAGACAGACCCAATTGTCTGCATCAAGTAAGGTGTGTGGTAGACAACATGTTTTTTACTCCCACCGTTTCATAATATAAGAGTGCTTTTGTTGACGTGTAAGTGCATAGCCCATCTTTCCCCATCAGGTTAAGCTTTTGGATGAACTTGCTGGTGCGTACAGTTCTACATGGTATCGAAATCAAAAGAATTTGAGTCAAGACCCAGCTGGTTTCTCACCTTTAGTCAGGAGGCTTACCAGTCCCGCTCTTGAACCTTTCAAAAGATGTGGTTCGGCTGGTCCGCGATGGGCTGTTCTCATCGGGTTGAGATTCTCTGCAGTACCGTATGATGATGTAGTGTCGATGACATGTGGGGCCTGGTCCCACATGGTAGTGACTGTACAGCACCGTACAGTACTGGATCCTAACCCGTTCTCAACCTGGGTTAGTTTACCCTTGGTGACTTCCGTCGGGGACCCCCTTTTTCAGACAAAAAAAAACTGTAAAAGCCAACAATTAACAGCTCATTTGCCATTTGGTCCAAACATCTGCCTGAATCCTGCTCTCGATTAGGATGCTTATATGTATGCACTTGGCAATTCCAAAATACGTACATAATTTTCATTGGGAACGGAAGGAAATGTCTGTCTCAGGAAACTGTTCTGTGGGTGTAGATCGGTCAAATTTATACACGCACACTAGTCTCGACGTACCAAACTCGAGAGATCGAGATGGCAGACGACTGACTAGTCTGGCGCCAAGACACCGATGACCTGCAAGACCCGTCCTTCTACGAAACTTCTACCCAGGACCAAGAGCTCTCGCAACATGTAAACGAAGACACGCGGGCGGGCAGCGCACTACCAGTTTTATAAAGAACAAAGCAAAGAATGCAACACTACTCTTAGACTTACAGCATCTTCAGTCGGGTCCCCAACAGACCCCCAGGGCGATTTTTGGGGCGCCGGCGCCGGAAAAAAAAAACAGTGGCGCCCCAAGACGCCGAAATTCGTCGGCTCGGCCTATTTTTTAGCCCGACGATC